TGAGGATGGGACACACTTATTTGAACACAGCCCTCTTGGCTTGTAAAGAGGAAATGTGCCAGAAATCTTGTACCAAAAGTCTCTTTGGAAATGATGAAACATGACCCTTTTTGCTTCTCAAGCTGGTCTGACATCATGAAGATAATTGGCTAGATCTTGATTGCATTTCAGAATGAGACTTGGGGCCTATTTCTGAGTTAACATGCCTAGAGTTATGCTATGTGTTCACCAACTATATTGAAAAACAAAGAATTGAATGAATTGGGGAGATGTTGGTACAAGTCTTCATTTACCATGGAGCACCCTGGGTAACTTTGGGCCAATCCTGAATCGTTCTCAACTCAGCCTACTTCATAGGGTTGTTAAAACAGGAAGAAGACCCTAGTATTCCAGGACACTGCTCTGTGACCCCAACTAACAAATAAATTAATTTCAATTAACGTTCTTTTGGGTTTATGCAAGGAACACAAGAACAATGAACCACGGTTATCTTTTGAGAAAGGAAGAGCAACTTGTTGACTTATTCCCTTTTCCTTTGACAGTACAGACTCAAACAATCAACATCTAGCATGAACTCACTGATTAAAATATGCTTTTGTTGGTTCTAGTAGCAGATTCTCTTTGCGTGAAAGCCTTCTCAGCAGTTTTTCTTCAACAAGGGGCTGAATGTCTGCAGAACACGGACAAGAAAACCCTCTCATTCAAAAACAAGACCTTCAATTCCCAGCTATTACTCAGAAAAAGGCAATGTCAACCCTTCTCCACACTGTGGACAAGAAAACAGCCTAACTGGGACCGTGCACCCAGCGTCTAGCGTTCCTGAATTGCAGATAGAAATAGAAAAATGGTTTTAGCGCAATAGAATTATGAAAGCACTAGCTTCATTTAGATTTATTTCTTGTACTTCTACCAAACAAAGTATTCCGTGTGGGTTATAAAATTCTACAAGCAGCCGAACAAACCTTCCCCCCCACCCTGCACATCACAGCACTGATGAGGTTGTCTAGTATGGGAATAAATTGTCTGCAAGAAGGAAACCAAGCAAGAACTCCACAACGTGCCTTCTAACAGTAAACATTAAAAAAAAAAAAACATTTTATAGACCTTCCGGGGGGTGGGGGGAACAGCAGTAAAATAACAAAAACCATTAAGTACAATAATTAAATAATAGTTCTTTAGGAAGGAAGGAAGGAAGGATGGATGCAAACCATGTAAAACCCATTGTTCCATCATAGTGGATGCTTAAAGTAAAACTGAATACAAAACTGTAACAAAGTTCCTGAAAGCAGCTGAAACTTTTGCTTGGCCATTATCTGTCCCCCCCTCCCCCAAATCATTATCCTGAGGAGGAAGGATCTTTGTAACAACTGTGGTTTGTATTTTCCAAAATGGGAGACTGTCTTATATCAACAGTTCTGGATGCAATGTGATACTGAAGATGATGGCCCTGCTTGGATCTTCTCCAACATCCATTCTTAAGAAGATTCCTTGTTTTGTTGAATGGCAGTTGAGATCTTGCCCTGAGCAAGACCGTTCCCTTTCACTTTTGGTGAAATGAAGATCTGGAAATCTGTGGTTAGCAAATGATCCCTCCACACTACAACCACAGCTGGCCTTTTCCTATTAGTACTATATAGGCCGAAGATAGCTGGCCTTCAACATGGATGAGGCCCCTTTGAACATTCCAAGTTAATATCAGAACTCTTTAAGTAGTGGTTGAAATATGGGTGACTTCATAATGATACCTCATTGTCTCCTTCTCAAAGGGAAGAGACCTATATGGACCTCACTCACTTTCCAGTGGCAGGCTTCACAAAACATGCTAAACCATCATGCAGTTTGTTTGTTTCCAGCAAGTTGTGTGAACTTGGTCTTTGTGCATTAAGCATATTATGGGTTCTGGATGTATGTATGGTATGTTCTAGTGCTGAACTTACTGCATTTAATGCAAGTTTAGCTACTGGAAATTAGTTCTTAAAAACATCATCATGCCAATTATTTGACACTGCACATTAAACATCAGTCATTTGCCTTTCATGGGACAGAAAATGCAAGACATACATACATATATACACACATGCATACTTCGTTATAGCCAAAGGCCAGAAACAAAACATACTACAAAAAACAATGAAACAAAACAAAACAAGATCTTGAACAACATCAGGATAGTTGGCAAATAAACTGAGTTATAACTTTAGGAGTTCTTGCATAAATTAGTGCCTTGTTTTCATTGCCACCATGAAATATTTGGCTACGATCAGAGTTGTAGAAACGTCGGCCCAGTTTGATCAACAAATGTAAATACAGATGTCCACATGGACACCCATCAGCTGCAATTCAAGACAAGATCATTATTTAGCTACTGACATTCAGTAAAACCTTAGTCTAATTTATTTATTTAGACTTACAGGGCACTTCAGTCGAAGACAGTGTAAGTGATCTATACTCTAACACCGTAACAAAAGTTTAAAACAATAGCAATTATAACATAAAACAAAACAAACAATCATAATAGCAGAAACCTTCACGTGCATCTTCATGTGGAGGAATGATACCTTCGGTAACAACCAGTCACCTGCTCCAAGGTGGCAACCCATCGTTCTATTAATCTCCCAAGGTTTTCTAAAATAGCCAGGTCTCGGTGGCTTTCTTAAATGCCAGGAGGATTGATGCTGCTGTAATCTTGGGCACAGTTCGGTTCCAAAGATGGTGGCAGCAACACAAAGGGCACCCCCTCATGGTCCCTGATGGTAGCATTTCTTCAGAGATGGGACTTGAAAGATGTCCTGCCTACGAGGTCTTATTGGATAGGCAGAAAGTGCTGGGAGAAGGGGATAATGCAGATACATCCAAACTGGACCTCAATTTTATTTATTTATTTACTCCAATCAACTCTGGCTTTAATGTACTTATGATGCAGTGGACCACAGTTCCAACAAGACATTGAAATAATGGACTGCAGTGGGAAGATGCTTGGAAGATCAGTGAAGGGATAGGCAAGCCAGGGGGAAGATCATGGCAATTATGGGAAGACTGGTGGAAGGCCTGATGTATATTTTTATCCTTGCATATACTTATGTTAATTGCTTGGACACAAGTAATGGTGGGATTTGAGTGACAGTATCACCATATGACCTGTCATTTATGTGTTGTCATGGTTTGCCAATGGACAGTCTCTAGATATGAGGACTTCATCATTTAGAATTTCCAGCCAGTGCGGTCATTGCTGAGATTTCTTGATGTTGAAGCCCATGCAGAGGAGGCTGAGCAGAGGTCTGGCTTGACCTAGCAGTGATTTGTCTGTCTGTCCATCTGTCTGTCTACTGCAATGAGGAATGCAGAAGAATTCTCCAGGAAGGGTAAGGAGATAGGAGAGCTGGTGCAGGATCTACAAGGAGCTGACCAACAAGTCACAAAGAATCCATCATGGTAGAAAATGGACAAAAGATTGAGCTTCCTTTGAAAGATCTGGTGGGCAGGGTTAAATATTTTAAGACATAAAATCAGCTCATCCTAAAGGGCTAGGATGAACTTCCTTTATCACAGCACAGTTGGCCTAGCTCAAGGATTAGCAACATATCCTGGGCACTGTCTTGCGTAATGGCCCAGATGTCCTCCCGTCCCAATTCACCACTATCTCATCAGATCACCCATGAGACCATCAAACTCTTGCAAGATCTCACCAATTTTAACAACTATTTTATTTGGAGGTCTGGAAGTATCTCTCAGAGATCCAGAGAGCCTTGAGTAGGTTCAGTAGTAATGTGGGTGTCAAACATTCCCCAAAAATGTCCAGCATGGAAGGAGGAAAATGCAGGATTTCACCTTAAATCAAGTCAGGCATTTGGTCCATTTGAACCAAATGTTTAACATGGCTAGCTCAGTGGCTGTGTTAAACAGAATATGCTATCATGATTACTAAATTAACCCATGTTGTGTATTTGTACAATATGGCAATAACATTATTGCACAATAATATCTCAATATTTGCTGATGAAACCAGCGTGGCTTCACACATCACACCAAGCACCACATACACTCAGAAACCAGAGTTAAAACTAACCAAGCCTAACATATTTTCAACTGACCTGATTAGAATTATCATTTGAACACAGTCATTACTATATGCACTAACCTGGAAGCAGACCCCAGGTTTTAAGCATTAGGTTGTGCAAATTTTCAGAAGATTGCTTTTGTTTATGAAGATTCTTAGTCATCCAGGTGGAATTATCTGGAGGTTGAGTCATGGCA